GCGTTTTCTTCTCTATTACTTAATAAATTTGTACAGTTAATGAATTGTTTAAGTATTTTCAGTAATTTCTCTAAAAATCTCCCATTGATTGAATTCTAAACAATGTGGTTTTGCATAATCATTGCAATACAAGATAAGAGCATGTTTTCATTCAAATATTCTGGACATCATATAATACTGATTGTTCTATCTTGTCTGGAAATCCTGAATAAATTTTATGAACTGGTAAATTAAATTTTTCCTTGTATTCCTGGTTCTTTGCAAAAGCTGCTGGTGAGTGATTGAAGTGCCCAAAGACTGAAGTTTACAAATACAGAGCATATCCTTTACATACCTTTGCACAAAGATGGCATCATGAATGGTCAACTTCAAGGTGTGTAGAAAACAATCTGATGACTCATATTGGGCTTGTACAGCTGCTGCTGTCATATTAGCCACATTATCCTTTATAAGAACATGAATTTTACTATGAGTAATATTAAATTACTGTACTGTCTCTGTGATACTCATTTTGAAAGCTATAAAATTTTTAAAAAATACAAACTTTGTAGAAACAAATTTAAGTGTTTACTTTTTTAAGTTTTGTTTATTGAAAAGATATATTTTAAATAAATCATTTTGTTAGATTTAATCAACAAATCATTTTCTGGACATTATAATTATATGGAATTTTATTTTTAATTTCTAATTGAGAATAATTAAAAATTTGAATTTTAAAATAAAATTTTATATAATAAGATTCTAAATGTTTTTGTAGCTTTTTAAATGCAGACAACACATATTTTTTCTTTTTTATAAATTTAAAAAAAATAAATTGTTGCAAAAGAAAGCCAAGTAGAACAACAAAATGAATTCATTTTGTGTTTATATTACATCATTTTAATTGTAATTATTAAATTAATAATTTATAGTATTAAATGGATGAATTAGAAATGTTTAAAAAGAAATTAAAAATATAAATTTATTTTGAACTGAAACAGACTTTAAACTAGCAAACTTTACAGAAAGTTTGAGAACTGAGTAGAAACTTGTACATTTCTATTTTTTTTAAACCACAAGTAAAATAAATTTACATCATACTTAGGTGTTATTATGATCTATAGTTTTTAGTTTTATTGATAGTCTAAAATTAATAAATATTTATATCTTTTTATTATAAGTATCAGAAATGGAAAATTAAGTTTTAAATAAAAAAAAAAAAAAAATCAAAGAATCGTTTTTGGAATTGGAAATTAGAATAAAAATTCTCCAATTCCAATCCCAATTTCAATACCCCAAAAAGTTCTGATATTTCTGATTCTCAATTCTGAAAAATTGTTCCATCACTAGTAAATAGCAGTACAGACTGGGTCCTGTAGCCTAAGGTGGCCACTGGTTTAAGAGATAGACAACTCGGAATTCCAAACCTGCGGAGGGTCATTTGGGGACGTTGTGTCATACAGTGTACCAGTTCTCTGTATTCAGCTCTTCTAAAAAGTGTGGTTGGTGCTGTACAAGCCTTCATCACTATAATTAAATGATATGTATGAGTAGTCTGGTTCTAAAAACTGAGCCGCTGGATCCTCATATGTTGAAAAGCAATTATGTATGTATGTGTGCCTGTATATTAGATATACAGATAGAGACTGTGTGGACATAAGTATCAACACTGCATACTGACAATGTCTTGGGCTGAAGATCACATTGAAGCATGAACCTGACAGACACCATGTACTATTGATTCCTATGTACATACTGTTTATGTATATTTTATGCAAGTGTATGTATATATATATATATATATATACGTATATAAACATAAAACATTAGGCAGCATATAATTTATATACAAAGAAGTAATCACGCATAGAATCAATCAGCAATATTAATGCTATTATTGGCGACATCCATCATTTTATAGATGAGGATCACATCATTCTATGGATTAACAGTATTTTAATGCATACATTATACACTACTAGCGATGGATGTCGCCAATAATAGCATTAATATTGCTGATTGATTCTATGCGTGATTATTTCTTTGTATATATATATATATATATATATATATATATATAAAGACAAGAAATAAATTATTTATAATTATAAAACATAAACAGATTTAAATTATATATCATATAAAAGAAAATATCAAATGGAGCATTTCTGAATTCTAGCTTATGTTAATAATAAAAATAAAGAAACCTCACATTCACTAATTAAATACAATTATTTATTTGAAGGATCCATTTTTATTATCATTAAATAATCACTGAGGAAGAAAAGAACACAAATGAAAAACAATTATGTACTGAAATATCAGCCGATCAAAAGTGAACTTGAAAATTTAAAAAAAAAAAAAAAAAAAAAAAACGGTATTTATTAAGATGGATTAATCAATATTTCCATCTGGAATGATAATTATTTTTGGAATAGCAAAGTTCAACTTTGGAAGGGAAACAACATGCTAAGGGTACAATTATTGCACGACAGATCAGTCATACTGGGCTTGAGGCAAC